TCGCCTGCCATCTTGATACAAAGTTCCAAAACAAGTGCGTACATTTACAACCATGATTGGATGGTTGTGGTGGCGTCGGTCTGGTAAAATTTTACATCCAATTTTCAAAATTAAGTCATGATCAGTGACCAAAGGCCTTGTAAAAAATCGAATAGCACTTGACATGCAGAAATAATTTATTGGGGGCTTCAGAAAAAAAGTGTTCATTTAGTTGTAGCCGTAAATATTTGGTGACCAGTCGATGAACAATTTGAAACTTATTATACACACGGAAGTCCTTCGATACTGAATATCATCGACCCCAATCTGGTTTACCTTATTTCCCAACTTGCAAAACTGGTTTGTATCTCAGCCCAGTTTTTCTTTTTTTGAACTGAGGATAACCCCAGCCGTTTGTCAAAATATACCGATGTTTTTCAGTGAATGATTGTGAAGCCTGTCACAGCACAGTGAATCGACACCGGAGATTGGATGGTACGACGATCCTTAAATTAGCGTCACATATGCTTTGTTACAACATCATTGATTGGCTGAGAGTCACCTGATCGGAGCACGACCTGGGTCACAGGATCATATTTGTCTGTATTATCAACGAGACTTTGCGAGAGATCCACACCCACATTTTCAACCATTTTTAGTGCGGAAGTTGCCAACAAATGTCGAAAAACTTGTGAATTTTATGGATTTGAATAAAATAAAGCTAGCGATTGGTAAGACTGGTTAATAATATATCCTCCGATGCTTTTCGATTTTTTTAATTTTATTTCAAGGCGAGAAATGGATAATTGAAGTTCCATCGATTTCAAGGCGACTGTTTCACCGCGACAACTCTACGCTGTGTTGTAGTTTCGCGAGGTAAAAAAAATATATAATAAATAGTACTTGTTTAATTATTTGGTTTTAAAGCCCGCAAATTACGGGACATGAACCCCATGAATTACGATAAATAAATGCTGATTGTGTTGAATGATTGACATCGGGACAGTTTGGAGAAACCAGCGGGGATTGATATTACAAACAAATTATTGGGACACGGTCGGTAGACATTTCAAACAAATGAAATTATTAACGAAAGACGAGATATTTCCAGATATTTACGAACGAACTGTTATACCAAATATAAATTGACAAATACACAAAGAGATATTAGGTTTAATTTTAGCTTTAGAAATATTTTCTCTCACTCAGTCCATGCGTGAGACTTCTATTTAGCTTCATGGTCCTTCGGCTTGTGTTCTTCTTGGGGGAAATAACAATAATTAAACAAATCGTAAACTCAACACAGTCAGGAAAAGAAACCCGGACAACCATGTCGTACTTCTATTAAAATAGGTTGTTCAACATCTATGCACGGTTACTAAACTAGTAACCGTGATCTATGAAAACCAGAAAATTGTTAGTAGTCCGAATTTTTGCACAGTCGAAAATAAAGCGGAAATTCAACAAGCGGTCGCAAAAGCGAGCGATTGAAAAGCGGAAGCGGGCGAGAGGTTGGGCAAAATGAGTTCTGTACTTCTTTGTTTGATGAAGCGATGCTGATGCCACATTGTCGCCATAATGAGGCCACAATGAAGCGAAGCGATAACCGCCTAACTTTTTAATGTCGCGACATTCATGCGATGCCGAAGCCATAACAATGCCATAATGATGCAATGCTGAAGCGAAGGTGAAGCTGAAGTGAAGCCAAAGCTTCCGCGAGAACTGTACCACATACATGTACACCTAGTATATCACTCCATAACCACTCCATAACCATGTGCCAAACACACCTAGTGCAGTACACATCATGCCATCACATCAAGATCCAGATCACATGTGGCACACACAACTAGTGGCACACACAACTAGTGCATTACACATCATGCCATCACACCAAGATCCACATCACATGTGGCACACACACCTAGTGCAATACACATCATGGCCATCACACCAAGATCCAGATCACATGTGGCACACACAACTAGTGCATTACACATGCCATCACACCAAGATCCAGATCACACGTGGCACACACACCTAGTGCAATACACATCATGACCATCACACAAAGATCCAGATCACATGTGGCACACACCTAGTGCAGTACACATCATGGCCATCACACCAAGATCCAGATCACATGTGGCACACACAACTAGTGGCACACACAAGTAGTGCATTACACATCATGCCATCACACCAAGATCCACATCACGTGTGGCGCAC